CGACGCGACGCGACGCGACGCGACGCGACGCGACGCGACGCGACGTGACGTGACGTGACGTGACGTGACGTGACGTGACGTGACGTGACGTGACGTGACGTGATGTGATGTGATGTGATGTGATGTGATGTGATGTGATGTAATGTGATGTGATGTGATGTGATGTGATGTGATGTGATGTGATGTGATGTGATGTGATGTGATGTAATGTGATGTGATGTGATGTGATCGCATGGGATGAGGACGGACAGAAGGACGGGCCGACGAACGAACCAGTTGGTCATAGTGAATGAATAGGAGTGGGAGACAGACAGGGTTAAATGGAGAATGAGGGTGACATAGACCTACCGCATACTGTAGAACCGAGTTATTCACACCTCGCCGTACTTAACGTTGTTTCTACGTCGCGCGAAGAGCATGTGTCAAGGTGTCTGAGAGCATCGCCAACGACAGGGTCAGTCTGCTGCAACAGCTGGAGCTGCTGCGCAAAATGAACGAGAAGCTCAGTGATGACAAAGACGAGATCGAGGAACGAATGAATGCCGTAAGCACGTGTGCCTGCATATACCGACTATAGACAAAATAAAATATATAAAGATAAAAAAAGATAAAATATGGGTGAAGTTACCCGTATGGCCGTAGGTGTAAACATGGGTGCGTGCATACGAACGTGTTCGCGCATACACACATCCATGCATCGCATACGTGCAAATACACACATACGCACGCGTATGCGTGCGTGTGTGCGCGCACGTGCGTGCGTGCGTGCGCACGAGCGTATGCGTGCGTACGCACGAGCGCATGCGTGCGTACGCTCATGTGTGCGTGTGTGCGGGGCAGCGGGCGTATGTACGTACGTGTGTGCGCACGTGCGTATGCGTGCGTACGCTCATGTGTGCGTGTGTGCGGGCGTATGTGCGTACGAACGTACGAATTACGAGATGGCGTCACATAGAATAGATGAACGTGAATAAATGATGAATATGTGAATGATGTTCGTAGGATAGACATTGTTTGCGCATTTCACTGCCACAGGCGTCGGGCAATGCAGCTATGATGTCCACACCGTCTGCGTCTCCAGATTCCATCTTCAGCTCGGTCAGACTTGACAAACAAGGAGCAGTCTTCTCAGACTACGTCCCCTCGGACAAAGGCGAGCGCCAGAACAGTATGTAAGCACCACACGTAACGACGATCCTTAATTGCTAAATGCCGACAGCTATAGCACCTGCCATAGTAAAAACAAATCTATATTTGAATCTATGAATTATACTAACTTAATTGCTTGTGTATTGTGTCACGTATATTCTTTTACGTATCACGTATGATTAATTTTTGATAACACGTGATCGATTTGATTAAACGTCATCTCACAATATATGGGCGCACACTCGTGCAATATAGTAATGAGGCAACAGGTGGTGTGAACAGATATCGTCACCTCGTAGATTTGCTTACAGAAACTCAGAAAATGAAGCAATGGAACCGCACGTGGCTACGCAAGTTGAATCTTACTGGAGTGGAGATTGTATATGCGCTGGAGTCTCGTTACCAGCTACGTCGAACGGAAACTGCAGCCCGGAAGTAGATGAAAGTTCGTCATTTTCCTATTTGGCATGGAATAGAGACACCGGAGAACCAATAACGACAAATGATGCTTCCCCGGCTTTTGTCTGTGGGACGGAAACTAGCTTGTTAGAAGAGGCGAATACCAACTCTCCGTCGTGGGGTAAAGAAACTGGCACGGGAGGGGGATCAGATATAGCCACCTCGTCTCCCCTAGCGCCGGACAAAATCAGGATGGGTGGAGGGTTGAATGTCGCTTCGTCCGAGAATCTCTGTGTTAGAGAAGATAATGTGGTAAGAATGTCAAATTCAGCTCCCTTCCTTCAAGACTGGGAGGAAAATACTGGGAGAGGATCACACGCAAATATCTGCGTTCCTCATCGGAAAGAGACAAGCGTCGACGGCCGATTAAATTTATCCGTCAGCGAAATCCATATGACGGAAGTGATAGGTCCACGCGAGACCTATTGGACGGAGAACGGCGGACGACCAGGCACCGCCTACAGTTCGCAGTGCTCAGACAATAAATGCGACAGCGCATGCGTGCGGAATGTCGTTGCCGCCGACGTAACGGCCAACAACCGAAAATCGTTCGTCGGCTCGGACGAACCGCGGACCGACCGACCGACCAGTGTGGATAACTCGGGAGACCGAGCTCAACTGAACATCCTATCGGTTAGCAGATCTGCCGACAATCTGCACGCTGGTGATCATGAACGATATAAGTGTGCGGATGGAAGCGGAAAATATCCCCACAGGTATATATATTCACTCGCTGCCGCTAATTATAAGGCGAATTATAAGGCGCTAATATAGGCGCTAATATAGGACTAATATAGGCGCTAATATATAGGCGCTAATTATAAGGCGATCATTATAACCACCCAATTTCCTCATTAACTGCGTGCGACCTCATTTATAGTGACACCATTACTACTATATACGAGGGTCACTTAATTTTACAGTTGGGTGCGAAATAATAACAATTTATGTAACTTGTAGTAATATAATTATGTATCTAGATAAAAGTTAGAAGTATGTGTACACCATACATGTACACACATCGTGGGGAATCACTGGGATTATATTTATTATAAATAGTATCTATAATGTCATTGTAAAGAGAGCTTGGAGGAGGAAGTACTGAATTCATAAATGTAACCAAAAACAAATATCAATTGTTAACATCACACGCCTCACACCTTATTAGTATGTATGTATTTTGTGTCAGTGGATGTTGGATGATGTGTTTGTAGTGTTGTGTTTGTTTGAGTGGTATGGTGTGTGTGTGTTGTGTGCGTGAAGTGTGTGGTGTGTGTGTTGTGTGTGTGGAGTGTGCGTGTGTGTGGGTGTGTTCTGCTGTATGGTGTTAATTGTGTGTATTGTGTGTGTGTGTGTGTGTTTGTGTGTCGTTGTGTGTGTGTGTGTTTGTGTGTGCTGATAGTTTAGTTGTACTGTGATTGTAAATGTATGTGTGGTTATGTTAGGTGAGTGTTAGTTTGACGGCGCGCGTTGCGCTGTCGTGTGTGCTGTGGTGTGTGTGTGTGTGTCGTGCTGTAGTATGCTCGACTGACGCATGAGTGAGTCATGTGGTGCTGTGTTAGTTATTAGTATGGGTGTGATTTTTTACATCTGCTTGCGCAGAAGAATCAATGATGGTATTAGATCGTTGCGAATGGTGAATGTTCTGCGGCCTGCCAGACTGTTGGGTTGGTCGAATTGGCCCGTGATCCGGTAAACCGTATAGTGTTGTTTTATCGTTTTAATGCTGTTTCGCAAGAACTCGGTGGGTAAAAGTATCGGTGTTTTCTCACAAATATTGTTACTCCTAATTTATCGTAAGCTTAAATACGCCCAAATCGATCTAGACAGACTGCATCCAGTCGTGCTGTACAGCCGATACGCTACGATGTATGATAAATCGGACGACATGTTGCGTGGGTTGCATTGTCATGCAGGTGCTATAAACTAGCATAACTATCCTAACAGGCGGAGTACATTAAAAGTACGTGTTTCGATCGTGCGATCACTCGGGATGATATATATGTTTAAGAGTCTGCTTTTCACTCACACACCTACGCTTCTGGCTAGTCATTAACGGAGACGATTATTTACTCGATGTTTAGACTTTTCTTGATTTCTACGACTCGCTAGTACGTCAAAATATGCACGGAGCTTAAGCTAAGTTGACTTGGGCGAGGTTCTTAAATCATTATTTATATCTTATATAGCGAATTAAACATCACGCTAAGCAGTAGTAGGTTAGTTTCTCTGATAAAAAGGAATTGGTTATCGTTAAACAGGCCAAAATCTGGGGTACCACGTAGCGAGTCCTAACCCTTGAGGAATATAATATTGCGATATTACTAAACAAGGCGCAGCGGTCTGGAACATAAACTGGGGGTTTCTATTATATATGTCACCTCTATAAGGTCAACCATATAATCCGCTCTGTTATGCGCTCGGCGGAAAGGAGAACTTCTTTTAATCATGTGGTATAGCACTACGAGCGCTTGAACAGGCGTGCAATGAGTTAGAACACTTATATAATATACTGTACTCAATAAATTTATAATAACACATCAAGTTAACTTTTCTCCTATACATTAATATATATAAACCCAAAAATAACGTTTGTCCATATCGCAAAATTCAACATTACACTCGTAGAAGTTATATCACCACTAGATCTCATCCTTTACCCTGGTGACGCACATGATATTCACCAACCTAACACGCCTACCTGATAGAACCTTTTAACCCTATATCCGTCCATACAGCGCTTTGATATAATGATATAACATAACTCCAGCTAGCCCCGATACCTGCTTAAGCCCTATCCCTACCATAATTACCCTATCCCTACTCCACTACCGTTTAACCCTATCCCTGATTATTTTACTACCTTAAAGCGCCTACTCCGTATCGCATACCTTAACCCCTATCCCTACCAATAAACACCTCTAGATAGACCGCTACTAAGTCCAACATACCTTAAAAGCAATGAGGCGCACAGTGTATATAATATTAACCTAAATCACCTATCCCAAAATACGCCCTTATAAGACCGATCCTATCCTAGGTCTCAATACCCATTTGTAAACCAAGCCTTATAAGACCTATACCACACTAATATATAATTCTGACTGGTTAACAACACTTTAAAATATACTGATACTATATATAACATTAATCAACGACTATTAAAATTTCTTTATACTTAGAGATTTCGACATATCTCCTATATATAATCGATTTTTCATGAAATCATTAGTCCTATTCCTAGCAATAAACACTCTGTTCAACGCGATCTATTCTCCTATCTTGAAATTCTATCCTTTATAAACCTCTATAAACCTCAAATCATCTATATATATATATATATTATACCTATCTAAACACGTAATCGCATATAATTCTAGAACAGTTCTGTTCTTGTTTTACATTTAATTGCTGACCAAGCACTCTGATCGTTGACGATCATTAGTTGAGAAACTAGACGAAGCGCGGCACTCAGTGAATATCTAGGTACATAGATTAATAGTTACTATTAACTAATTTCGAAATTTGACAGATTTATTCTTATTATTATTACTATAAAGTGACTCATATCATATATGGTAACCTCGTGCATAATCATTGACGGAATAATTATGTTTTCTGAGTATCTCAATTTCATCGAATCTATAAACGCCGCGACTTTACTTTAGCTCTCAGATGGGTAACATTGCTATTGCCTTTGATAATATGTTGAGCATAGTCATCACTCTTGCGTTACGACCAATGGACTCTTCAGAGTAATTGCTTGTTTCAGGTGAGAGTGTTTTATCATCCTAGTGAGTGAATTATTCTATTCCTATATATATTGACAACTGGTTTCGATTTCGTGAGTGATTGTCTCTAGTGGTCCTCCAGATTATGAGGAATACATGACTCCGGATCTCACAAGACAGGAGATATAAAGAAGCTATAAAGCAAACATTTATGCAACATACACATGCGTTCACTCGAGTAGAGCATATTACGAAATTATATTCTTAAATGTTTATATTCATATTGACTAGCATTATAACTTTTAACAATTATCGTTCTTCACATACTATTTATGTTTTGAGACGCTCGTCACGTTAATATAGTGTCTCATAATAATATGTTGAACGAACGGCGTTATACTGTTCCACTCACACGAGACGGACGAGTCAGGGCTTTTACGCTTACTTTCTCTACCTTTCAGCACACCTCTACTATCTCTAGTCTATATGGGACGTTAAGTACTTTACATACAGAGGCTCTCTTACCACTCCAGCTAACAATTCTTCTATTCATGGGTTTATTTGATATTGTAGCAGTGTCATTACACTTATTTTACTCTTACTCGACTCTTACACTCATTGCTATCCCCACAGCGTCGTATGTCTGCCACAGTGTGACCACAATCACAAGTTACCAGAACACCAATTTTCCAGACATGGCGAGTCTTGGCTAACGCGCTGTGAAATTGTTACTTTAGGATCGCTCACCTTAGAGGTTCATGTCTTCTATGCATGGTGGCTTTGTTTATTATGACCTACATTATAGGATCAAGTGGATTATAGCATAGACTTACATTTATTGGCCGGATGCCTGTGCATCAAGCTTCGCTATTCTTTTACTGTGAACGACGCCCTGTAAAACTGACTTAGTCAGCCTTGCCAACGGCTTTTTCTACAGGTTGTGACCCAAGCACATTACACACGTGTTCGAACAGAGCGCAGACTGCGCTCGCTTCAATTTATGTGTCATTGCATCAGCCTCGTACATGCTGTAGAAAAAGCCTCAAACATTTATAGAGAGATTACATCGTCTATTGTCCTCCGTCACTACTGCACTGGACACACCCGAATGATGCGTAAGATAGCTCCAAGTGGTGAGTTGAAGCACTTTTTGAGGTAGTGCAAGCAGAATATAGATGCACAGTCGGATGCCAATAACGTCGTGTATGATCAGAAGTCCGTTTGTAAAGTCGACTATATATCTTTATTGACTGTTACAAACAACAAGGATGCTATGGCAATTGCCTGGTTCATGTAACCCTCACCACGGATCGTATGTGTATAAATTATGTGTAG